CCTGCCTCCCTGCTCCGTCCACACCCCGGAGCAGTGGGGGAGCGAGGCGGCTCCCAGCTGAGGCTGCTGGAGAAGAAACCCGGCCGTGCCTTCGCCGCAGCTGCGTTTTCCTTGCCAGAGTCGGTCGGTCGCAGCTGTTGCGTGTAACTCGCCACCCTTGCCTCTCTCGTCCCGCTTTCGATTCGCTCCTTAACACGAGAAGGGAAGGTGCTTGTGTCCTCAGCCTCTTCCTTCATTTTCTGCAGGGGTTTGAGGCCGTTGTGGAACACAGTGAAACTGCTCAGCTCATGGCTGAGAGCCCTCCCCTCCCCATGTTTTGGAGGGAAAACCCAGCCCTTTTTTGTGGCTAATTACAGATAATGCTTTCAGAAAAGACTGGCGGAGCTGTGGCACCCTCCAGAAGTGATGGAAATACTCAAATGGCCCAAAAAGTAACGCAAAAGCACCAGGTTTTGTTTGTAGCCTAACGCCTTGCTCCCCAACAGGATGGAGACAAGTTCTGGAGGATGCCAGAGTGCTACATTCGTGGCAGCACGATTAAATACCTGCGTATCCCCGATGAAATCATTGACATGGTGAAAGAAGAGGTGGTGTCCAAGGGCAGAGGCCGTGGCGGGATGCAACAGCAGAAGCAGCAGAAGGGCCGTGGCGTTGGAGGTGCTGGACGAGGTAAGAGTCCCGTTCGTTTTTCAGCTCGGAGAGGGGGTGAGCGGGATCCCTGCCTTTAAATTTCACCTCTCGCCCAAGGAATGGCTCTTGCTGCTCGGCTTTAAACCCAGGGCTGCTTGTCTGGGGGAAATCCTCTCCTGGGTGAGACCTCAGCGAGCGAGCGCGTTGCCTCGCTGGCAAGGCAGCCTCTGCCAAAGAGCAGAGAAGATTCGTGCCAGGGATGTGCCTCCCTCCTTACTGGGGTTGGGCAGGAGCTTGGGAGAGTCTGGACTTGACCGTTTCGGCCCCTCCTGGCTGGTTCGGGAGCGTGGCCCTACAAAACGGGGGTCTGTTAGCTTAGCAAGTCTGGGAGGGAAACAAATGGCTATTCTGTTTGAAAATAGACTGGGCTCTGAGCGTGGCAGCGAGAGGAAAACATCATCTTTTCTCCCATTATAATGGGGCTTTTGATCTCCTGGCTTGTTGGTTTATTTATTTAAAGAAAAAACTACATAAAAATCTGAGGGTCTGTGTTCCTCCTGCTCGACCTGAATAATTCATGGTTCTGATAAAAGGGGAGGTTGCCACTTAAGAAGAAATAGGTCACCAAAACAACTGTGCGTTGCCTGCCCCACTTCACGGGGCGAGGTGATCTCGGAGCACTTCAGCTGCGGGACGTGTTTGCTCTTTTCACCCCCAACTGTCCTGCTGGAAGGCCCAGAGCCATTTCTCCCCTTTCCTGCTCACCCCTCCTGCCACGTACCTGCGATTCGCTTTCTGGTCGCCTCGCTCGGGGTTGCTCTCGGTGCAGGCTCTGCCTGCAGCAGGAGCTCAAAATCCCGAGCGCGCTCAACGAAACCGGGTCTGGCCTGGGAAATGCGACGTTTTAAAAGCAGCCCTGGGGACTGGGACAGCGCCGGGCGCAGCCTCTGCAGAGCACCCTGAAGGAGCTCCCGCGTTTTGCCTATGCAAGGAATCCCAGTAGGACGGCTGGGACCTACCCGGGGCCGTCACGCCACGCTGGGACGCGCGCCGCGCCGCGTCTCCGACTCCCAGGGACTTCTGGAGGAAAAACCCCGCGATTTCTGCGGCCCGGGCCACCTCCGGGAAGCTCCGAGCATGCAAAAGTGACCTTTACAAGTCTGAAGGCGCCTTTATTTTTCCTCCTTCCCTTTTCAGTGTGCAAAGCACTTGGCATAACAGCTTTTTTGGATATGGTTATTTGGACAAACATTTTAGCTGAAATGTTTTCTCTGCTGTGGAAATATCCACCTTGTGGAGAGCAGAGCCGAGCTCTGTTTGAGGCGGAGTTCCCTGCTGTTTCGATGTGCAGCTTAAATTCGCTGATGGAATATTTTAAAGGGAAGCTTCGGCATTTGCTAATTAGCTAAAAGGTTTGGCTCTCATTACTGAGACATGAAGGGAGGAGGGGAAAGGAAACAAAAAAAGGCAGGACAATTTTGTTGAGAGGCCAGCAGGCAGAAGTAAAGCTATAATTGCGCACTCAGTTGAAAGGATTATTGTTTCTGACACTGGTAATCCTTCGTCTTTTTACTTCTGGGCTTGCCAAATTCAGGAGTACAGCAGTCTTTGTTCGGCTTCGCTGGGAGCAGCCGGAGCCCTGCGAGCATCCCAGCGACTGCAGGGTCAAGAGCAATTTTTTTTCCTTTTTGCTTCTGGCTTAGGCCCGTCTGCGAAGCGACCGGAGCAGAGGGCTCTGGAGAAGCTCTTGTGCCCGGACTGGGTCTCCCTGGGCTCTGCCTTTTGTGTGCAGGAGGCTGGCAGGGGAGATCCGCAGTCCTGGTACCACTCGCACGCCAAGATAATTCCAGGCAGTGATTTTTCGCTTGGGGTTTGGGGTGAATCCGAGCAGCGAGGGGGGGACACGGGGTCAGCGTGCGGTGCCTGGTGCCCTCCTGGGAGCGGGGCATTGCCCCAGCCAGCAGCGAGGCGCGGGCAGAGGGATGTATTTTTCCTGTTTGGTAGCTGAGCAGCCTTCAAACCAAGTCATCCTCTCCATAGCTTTCGGGGAACACGGTAGAACCTGCTCATCCCGCTGGATTTAAAACGTGGTGTCGCTTCCCTGGTTCCATTTTTCAGAAGTTGACTCCAGTTTACGGCGATAGCGCAGGGCGCGTTTACGCACCGGGGAGGTGTCGCTGAACCTGCTCATGGAGGGGGGGGGAGTCAATGCACCCGGTGAATACGGGCTCTGGAACGGGCAAGGGAGACAGCTGACAGTCCCGTCTCTGCAAAGACTAGAAAACGGGCGCGTGTTTGGGTAAAACATGAAGAACTGTGAAGCTGGGAGCGGCTGGGAGACGTTGGTGGCGTGTGCTGATGCTGTTACACCCGTGCTCTTTCCTTCTGCCCCACAGGTGTGTTCGGTGGCCGTGGCCGAGGAATACCAGGCAGTGGAAGAGGCCAGCAGGAAAAAAAGCCAGGCAGACAATCGGCAAAGCAGTGAGAGGCTGTCTGCACCCTGGCCGGGGACAGTGCCGCGACGCCGGTTGGTTTTTGTCACCTCAGGATTGCCGTGTGTTGAAAAGCGTTACCCTTCTGCTCTGCCTCGGTCGATCAGTGCCCGAACCGCGTAGTTCGGAAGCCCCTCGCAATTTAAGCTGGTAAAGTGGAGTTATTCACTCCTTGCAGTCAGCAAGTCATTGGAAATATTTTTCAAAAATCAGGTTAAGGACCTAAGTTCTGCCCTCTGCTGAGAGTGAAAGCGCTGTTTGATTTTTCAGGGTCACCAGGTTTAATTTAAAAGATCAACTGTGTCCGGCGGTGTAAGAACGAAGGCAAACACTGCCTGGATTGTTTGGATTCCTTTTTTTTTTCTTTTATAAATACTTGAAACTTGGGGAAACTCGTTGCATTTGTAACAGATGCAGGTGTTTTGGTGAAGAAACACTGAACTTGAGAATACTGTATCTTTACGTGAGTAGTCTTAAGGGTTTGGGGTTTTTTCAAAACAACAAACTTTTAAGGCGTTGCTCATCTTCTGTTTCTGGCCAGCTCTGTCTCTCTCCCGTGGCTGACGGGAGAACCTGGGATGAACATTGCCTCGGCCTTTGAGGGTGCTTTCCCAGAGAGCTTTGTCCTAGATGAGCGTTTCCCAATTAATGCATCACTAATTTGACTTCAGATTAGAAGTTTCCTTGAAAGGAAAGAGTTTTCTGTGTTTCCTTCTCGAAGGCTGGTGTGCCCCTTGCTCTTCGGATTTTGTTTTTTTGTTCTCAAAAGCAACCGAGCTG